CAAAGTTTAATTATCTCTCTTTTATGGTTGGGGAAAAGGCAACACTGTCCTGTTAAGAAGAGCCATCTAGAAATTTCTACTGAAATTTTATTTCTATGAAAAAATGGCAAAAATACTTTGTTAAAATTTTCATTGCCATTTCTTCCTGTTTCTCACCCAGCTGCACTGATGTGTGTTTTCCAACATCATACAAGTTAGCATCAGAGTCAGGATTAAAAAGTAATGTCTTCTGATGCCTAGTCATATCACTAATTCACTTCACCACAGTGCCCCTGCAGCATATAATTAATACCCTTTTTATCTCAATTTCCCAATGGAAATCCTATACTCCATAGAACCATAGGACTGGAGGGGACTTTGAGAGGATTTCTAGTCCAGACCCCTGCACTCATGGCAGGCCTAAGTATTATCTAGACCAGTGTATGTCCCTCAGCCCACGCTGCTTCCCACAGCCTTCATTGGCCTGCAGCAGTGAACCGCAGCCAGTGGGAGCTGCGATCGGCTGAACCTGCAGACGCAGCAGGTAAACAAACCAGCCCGGCCGGCTTTCCCTGAACAAGTGGCATCCCAAGTTTGGGAAACACTGATCTAGACCATCCTTGACAAGTGTTTGTCTAACCTGCTTTAAAAATCTCCAGTGATGGAGATTCCCCAACTTTCCTAGGCAATTTATTCCAGTGCTTAACCATCCTGACAGGAAGTTTTTCCTAATGTCCAACCTAAACCGCCCTTGCTGAAATTTTGGCCCACTGCTTCTTGTCCTATCCTCAGAAGTTAAGGAGAACAATTTTTCTCCCTCCTCCTTGTAACTACCTTGTATGTACTGGAAAACTGTTATGTCCCCTCTTAGCCTTCTCTTCTCCAGACTAAACAAACCCAATTTTTTTCAGTCTTCCCTCATAGGTCATGTTTTCTAAACCTTTCAGCATTTTTGTTGCTCTTCTCTGGACTTTCTCCAATTTGTCCACATCTTTACTGAAATATGGTGCCTAGAACTGGACATGATACTCCAGTTGAGGTCTTATCAGTGCAGAATAGAGTGGAAGAATTACTTCTTGTGTCTTGCTTACAATACTCCTGCTAATACATCCCAGAATGATGTTCGCTTTTTTTTTACAAGAGTGTTACATTGTTGACTCATATTTAGCTTGCAATCCACTATGACCCCTGATCCCTTTTCTCAGTACTTCTTCCTAGGCAGTCATTTCCCATTTTGTATGTGTGCAATTGATTGTGCCTTCCTAAATGGAGTACTTTGCATTTGTCAATATTGAATTTCATCGTATTTACTTCAGACCATTTCTCCAGTTTGTCCAGATCAATTTGAATTTTAATCCTATCTGCCAAAGCACTTGCAACCCCTCCCAGCTTGGTATCATCCACAAACTTTATAAGTGTACTCTCTATGCCTTTATCTAAATCACTGATGAAGATATTGAACAGAACTGGATCCACAACTGATCCCTGTGGGACTCTACGCAATATGACTGTGAACCACTGATAACTAGTCTCTGAGAATGGTTTTCCAACCAGTTATTCACTCGCCTTACAGTAGCTCCACCAAGGTTGTATTTCCATGTGCCACATTGTTCTCATTGTTTGAGGCCAAACCTTGGGGGAAAGAGAGTATCTGGTCAGTGATTCAGCTACCATCTTCTTCATCTAGTGCAACAGATTACACACATGGTATTTGGTATTGCAGTCTGCATGATACTACTGCATTACTAACATACACATGCCATTTCTCCCCGTTAGTGTTTCTTTCCCTTCTCCAGAACTGACCCAACGGATGTATTCACACACAAAGGCCCACATTTTCAAAAGTGTTCTCTAATTCTGTAAGTCTGAAATTTTGTATGCCTAACATGAGAAACTGAAGGTGTGAGAGTCCATTGCCTTGCACTTTGTGTAGTCACACTCACCTATGCAATATGGATGTTAAATGCTACCAAATCAGAATAGTAATTTGTATCGTGTCCAATTCTTTCCACTGCAACGAACTCGAGGGGCTTCCTAATCCTGTACTCTGAATTGCTTTCATACTTTCCTCTGTGTCTTTCATTAAATGAGTAGTTATCGATGCAGCAGAGCATACTTCCCAGTTTTTCTCATCAATTTTAGCAAAACCACTTTTTAAAGGGGGTTGCTTTTAACCAGCAAGTGGCTGTTTAACAAATGTCTAAATTGCAGATAGTAGCAAAATCAGCAGCACAGGGCAGGTCCTGGGTCTTCCCAAATGTTTTATTTTCAACACTTAGCATCTTTTTTGAGCACTATTGCAGTATTAATAGTAATTATTATGAACATATTGTGAGATTTAAACTGTTTGTGTTGAATGTTGTCTTCTTATTGTATGTGAAGTTCTTAAGGTATGAGATGGGTGCACTTGAGGCGAAAGGAGTGCATCCCTAGTGGGAGGGCTCTGCTGAAGGGACCTCCATGTCACTGATTTCCCTCCACTGTTTTTCGAAAGAAGGATGGTCCAGTTGCTAGGGAACTAGTTGGGGACCTGGGTTCAAGTTCCTCCTCTGCCACAGATTTCTTGTGTGATCCTGGATAAGGCAATTATTCTCCTTGGCCTTAGTTTCCTATCTGTAAAATGGGAGCAATAGTCTTTTCTACTCACAAGGGTGTTGGGTGAGTAAATATATAAAAGTTGTGAGGTGCTCAGCTACTATGATGATGGAAGGGGGCATATAAGTACCAAAGAAAGAAATTTTATTCCTTCCTTAAACTACACTACTTGGCAGAGAACAATAATTTTCCATAAAGAGACTCCCTTTTCCATACTACCCTCTCCCCACACTCAGCACCTGGCTTTCCTCTAGTCTGGATCTAGCTGGGACCCTTCTCCCATTTTGCATTATGGGAAGGATATGGTCATAGTGACCTTTGACACTGTCTATGAGCCGCAGGTTGAGAACCCCGATATAAAAAATTTGCTGGAATGATACTAGAATGGTATGATTGTTCTCTTCTCATAATTAATACTTAACCAGTGAATCACCATGTGCCAAGCAACCTTTTCATTACACATTTTCCATCATGTAATCAAATGATGCTGTGAGGCACTGAGGTATATTACAACCCCTCCTACACTATGAATACAACTGTAAACCAACTGGAAAAATACAACTGGAAAAAGGGGTAAACAGTGAGGTGTCAAAATTTGCAGACAATACAAAATTACTCAAAATAGTTAAGTCCAAAGCAGACTGCAAAGAGTTACAAAGGGATCTCACAAAACTGGTGACTGGGCAACAAAATGGCAAAGAAATCCAATATTGATAAATGCAAAGTAATGCACATTGGAAAACATAACCCCAACCATACATACAGAATGACAGGATCTAAATTAGCTGTTACCACTCAAGAAGAGATCTTGAAGTCATTGTGGATAGCTCTCTGAAAACATCCACTCACTGTGTAGCAGCAGTCAAAAAAGCAAACAGAATGTTGGGAATCATTAGGAAAGGGATAGCTAATAAGGCAGAAAATATCATAATGCCAATATAAATCCATGGTACACCCACACCTTCAACAGTGCATGCACTTCTGGGGGCCCCATCTCAAAAAAGATATATTAGAATTGGAAAAGGTACAGAGAATGATGAAGGGTATGGAACAGCTTCCACATGAGGAGAGATTAAAAGAGACTGGGACCTTTAAGCTTGGAAAAGAGACAACTAAAAGGTGAGATGACAGAGGTCTATAAAATCATGAATGGTGTGGAAAAAATAAGTGTTATTTACTCCTTCACATAACACAAGAACCAGGAATCACCCAATGAAATTAATAGGCAGTGGGTTTAAAACAAACAAAAGAAAGTACTTCTTCATACAACACACAGTTAACCTGTGGAACTCATTGCCAGTGTATGTTGTTAAAGCCAAAACTACAATGGTGTTCAAAAAAGAATTAGATAAGTTCCTAAAGGATAGGTCCATCAATGGAATTGGCCAACATGATCAGGGATGCAAGCCATGAAGCTGGGAATGGACAAAAGAGGATGGATCACTCAATGATTGCTTATTCTGTACATTCCTTCTGAAACACCTGGCATTGGTCACTGTCAAAAGATAGGATACTGGGCTCGACAGGATACTGGGCTAGATTAAATTGGTCTGACCCAGTATGGACATTCTTATGACCAGATCATGACACCATTTTCTGATCTGGATACAACAAACTCAGTTGTGTTTTATCCACAAAGCAGCTGCTTTCACAACAGAACTATTTGTCAGCTGTGTTTCTCCATCCACGCTTACCATTCTGCTTAGCTGTGTCTGTATCAGTGCATTTTGGGCAGCTGGTCAGACTGACTCAGCCGGGGACAATGCCTAGAGAACATTCACACTGAGCAGTATCAGCAGCTAGTCAGGCAATGCTGAGATGTCCTAATAACTCAGGGAGGAAGGACAACCAACCATCACAGTGACTTAGGTGCACTTTTGGTAAGACGCGTCTTTGAAGCAGCCTGGTTACAGAAAGATCACCATACAGTAGGCATGAGAGTGACATGTCATTACCTACCACGATTACTAAATATGTGTTAACCATATTGTGCATGGACAAAAAACATTTAAGTAACTGGTTACAAACTAGTAGAGACTGTGTGTGTATGTTTGTGTGTGTGCGGGTGCATGCATGTGTGTTCTTTCTACTAGCTGTGCTACATTCTTGTTGCTGTTGTTTGTGTTTAACTGAAAGGCTTAAACCTTAAATTCTGATCGTGACATTTTCCACTGTTATATGTATGTGTACTCATGGCACAAATGCTTAACAAATGATTGCTAGATTTTTTTTTAAACCAACCCTTCCCATATGTGTTAAGAATGGGCTCCAGCTTGTATTTACAGTGAAAGAGCTAGGATCTAGAGGTTTTAATTTATTGGAAGTACACATTGCTATCAGCAATATTTCCATGACCATTGCCATGGTCCCCAATAGTCTCTTTGTCAACTGTTCACAAAACAAAAGGAAAATGCTGGCATGACAGTCTTTATAATTAAAACAATACAAGCATTTGCTTCACAGAATTTTTCACAGAATTATTCTTATTGATACTCGATCACATTTGCTTGCAAAACACTACGACTTCAAATGGCATATTGGACAGTAACAACATTGCTTCAAATGGAAACATTTAGCAACTGGCTATGCTTTGTTCCATGACTGTTTTAGATTTGTTTACTTAAAATTGCGACTATCAAACAGAATATGCCAATTTAAAATGATATAGGCTATTAAGAATCAGAACAAAAAGACCTGCTCATAAAAGGTTATTTGTCTCATGCTTCTGAGCTCTTACATACATTATTCTGGAAAACACAAAATGCATTCTTTACCTCAAGGAAACATTTGCTTTTATGTAATTCAATAAAGCTTTTTATCACTGTCCATGAGTGGCTGCCTCTAAGTTACAGTACAGTGAGGGAGACTAATCTAGTAGTTAGATCATATGATGATGTGTCAGGTTCTACGTTCCATTCCTGGTTCTGTCACTGATTTACTGCCTGACCTTGGAAAAATCATAGTTCTTCTGTACCTTAGTTTCCCCATCTGTAAAATGAGAATAATAATGCTTACCTACTTCACAAGAGTATTAATACATTAATTCATGTTTTCATTGCTTGAGAAGCTCAAGATGAAAACTGCTATATTAATGCAAACTATTACCATTGTTATGTGGTTGAATGAAACACTTCTAAAGGAGTCTAGCTAGCAAAACAAGTACATCTGTATCTACCAGTTGCACATTTAGACCCAGATCATTCCTCCACTGAAGCCAATATCCAAACTCCCATTGACCTCAACAGAACAGGAGAGAGCCCCAAGTTCCAAAACTTGGACCATGCTTACACTGGAATAAGGAGCATATTAATTTCTTTCTTCAACATAATGGAGCTCTGCTCAAGTTTGACCAAACATAATCACATTTGGCTCAGGCATGGAACCATTTAGGCAGCTGCAGAGGCCATAAGAACTAGTGTCTTCCTTTCCAAACTCTTTGGTTGCCTCACAGCTGACTGATAATTAGATGTAAAGCCCCAATGGCACAATCAGGGAGGAACTATGCATGTGCAATACTGCCTCCTTGACAACATCTCCAAGGTCTGAAGGAGAGTGGAGTCATGACCCACTGGACACAGTTCAGGGTGCTGTGACAACAAGGGAGTTATTTGATCACTCCCAAGAGGAGAGATGTGTATTGTCAAAATACCAAAAACATTCCAGAGTCTGCAAACCACCAGCTAAGCTTCATGCCACTGAAGGATCAACCTTTTGGATTTCAAAAAAATCATGTTACTAAATTCATGCCATTAGTTGTGCATGCATGTCTTAATTGCAGGTGCTGCTCCTGTTACTACTGTCTTTGCACTTGCAATCAGGCCAATAGATGGGCAAGAACTCTCTCTTGGGTTTGCAATTCATTTTGCAAAGTTAAATGTAGTGGTTCAGATTGCATTTACTAAAAGGGAAGTTGGCATCAGCCTATCTGAAAACACATACCTATGGGTCAGCCCAGTTGCATCACCTTAGATTATTGACAGACTAGTTTTTACTACCGTCAGCACTGCAGAGACAGAGACACTGCCGTCTGTCTGACATTATCAGAGACATCCTCCAGTAGAGCAGGCAGGATTTCGCACAAAGAGGAACTGCTATGACCAGGTAGCTTTACTCACCGGCCACACTGAGGCAGGATTCCAATATAAGTTGAAGACAAGGATCGCCCTTGTTGATTTGTCCTCGGCATATGGCACCATCTGGAAACAGGTCCTCCTCGAGATCGACCACATCATTCACTGCAGGTGAACAATCAGCCTCTTGGTGGCGGTGACCACAGACCACCGTTTTAAGGTGCACTTAATGGCCAGATCAGTAGACCAAGAACTCTTAACTCAGGCATCCCACAGGACTCCATCCTGGCCCTAATACTTATTAATATATACACTGTGGATATACCAGCGACGGATTCGAGGAAATACATGTATGCAGATGACATTGCCCTAGCTGTTCAGCATACAAGTCTCCATACCATCAGCTGCATGCTAACCCGAGATCTTAGCACAATGGCTGATTATTTCCGACACCGGAAACTTAGGTCTAACCCAAAAAAAACCCCGGTGACCACTTTCCATCTGAACAATAAAATGGCTAATACAAAACGCGATGTGCAGTTCTGCGGTGAGAGCATCAGCCATAAGGCTAACCCAAAGTATCTTCAAAAAGAAAAGGAGGACTTGTGGCACCTTAGAGACTAACAAATTTATTTGAGCATAAGCTTTCGTGAGCTACAGCTCACTTCATCGGATGCATTCAGTGGAAAACACAGTCTTGGCATTACACTGGACTGGAGCTTGACTTTTCAACAACACCTCAAGAACACCCATGATAAGGTTAGGACTCATGTCGCGCTTATCAGAAAACTGACTGGAACATCATGGGCCTCCAGTCCACGTGTGTGATCTCACAGCAGTCACACTAAACTCCTTGACACTCAACTCAATAATGCTATGTGCATAGTGTCAGGGACATTCAAATCGACTCAGGTCGACTGGCTCCCGGTCCTATCGCACATCCAGCCTTCACAGATTAGAAGAGCTGCTCAGACATCTCGCTTTTTCAACCATGTCAATTCAAATGTGAGGATCCCGCTGCACGATGACCTGCAGAACCCTCTGTGATAAATGAAGGGGGTGTAGCTCCCTTTTATGGACATCCAGCCAGCGAGTAGCTATAAAATCCCTCTTAGTAGCTGTTCTCTAATTGCTTTACCTGTAAAGGGTTAAAAAGTCTCACTGCTATGCATAAGTAAAAGGAAGGGAGTGGGCACCTGGCCAAAAGAGCCAATGGGAAGGCTAGAACTTTTTAAAACTGAAGAAAGACTTCCCTTCTGTCTGTCTGTTGTTGTTCTCCCGGGGAGAGGCAGACAGGGCAACAGCTATGCTATAGGAAGCTTTGAGCCAGGTATGAAAAATCCTCAGTATCATACCTAGAAACTACTCATTTGAACCCCCAGGCATGTAAGTAGATCAGGAAATGTCTAGAAAGACGTGATTAGGTTTTTATTTATTTATGGCTTGTGGACTCCTCTGTGCTAACCTCAGGTGCTTTTGTTTTGCTTGTAACCTTTAAGCTGGACCTCAAGAAAGCTATTCTTGGTGCTTAATCCTTGTGTAGCAGGGCGGTCACCCAGCTCCATCCCTGAAAGGGTTAAAAGCCAGCCCTGGATGAGGGCTGGGGCTGAGAGCCAATAGGAAAAGGCTGGGCCCTATAAAAGAGCTGCAGGGCCAGAAGGCAGAGTCTCACTCCAGCCCTGGAGTGAGAAGGGCCTAGCTGTCTGGGAGCACAGGGTACCTCGAGCAGAGCAGAGCAGAGCAGAGCAGAGCAGAGCAGAGCAGAGCAGAGCAGAGCAGTGCTGGGGAAGGGCAAAAGGAGCTGGGGAGCTCCAGCCTGGGAACTCTCCAGGCTGAGGCCTTGGTAAAGGCTGCAGAGGTGCAGCCTAGGATGGGGATAGGCAGAGGCAGCTGGTCCAACCTCCTTGCCAATGATGAGTGGCCATTACAGACTGCAGTTTTCCCCAGAGAAAGGGGGCTAGATGATGACTGGCAGTAGCCACTGAGGCAAGGCAGGCTTAGAGGGTTGGGGGTTCCCCTGAGAGGGGAAACCCAGAGTGTGGGGGTACTGCAGTCGGCAGAACCCCAAGGGAATTGGGCACCGGGGTCCAGGAGGGACACAGGGCCCGAGGCAGGAGAGACATCGGCCAGCAGGAGGCACTCCAAGGGCTAGAATTGAGCTAATTCCCGAACAACCAGCAGGAGGCGTTGTGGAGGTGAGTGCTCGATCTGCTACATCTTGTAGTTGCTCTTTTAAAATCTAGCAATAGCCTGAGTTCCCAGGTGTATTTTCTTTCTTTTTTCTAATTAATAAAATGTACCGTTTTTAAGAACAGAATTGGATTTGTGTCTTAAGATGTTTGTGCACATGTTTTTAATTAGCTGGTGGCAACAGCTGATTTCCTTTTGTTTTCTTTCTCAGCTCTTCCCCGGAGGGGGGTGAAAGGGCTGGAGGGTACCCCACAGGAACGAATTCCCAAGTGCGCCTTCCTGGGCTCTCAAAGGGGTTCTGCACTTGGGTGGTGGCAACACCTACCAATCCAAGCTCAGAGAAAAACTGTAATCTTGGAAGTTTAATACAAGCCTGGAGTGGCCAGTATTAACTTTTAGAATCCTTGCGGACCCCCACCTTCTGCACTTGAAGTGCCAGAGTGGGGAATTAGCCTTGACATCCGCCAAAGACGAGATTAAAATCCTGCAATCCTTTATGTAACCACATCAAGACCCTTACTCCAATGCTGAGGCTCAGTGGAGAGCCACATGGAGTATTTCAACTGCTCAAAACAAACAGTTTATTGTTGGCCCTGCCGAGGAACCACCTGGTTTTGATGTATGTCAGAAAGATTGGTGCCGATTGAATCGCATCTGGACATTTCCTGAGAGATGTGGACAAACCCTCTTTAAATGGAAAATGAATCGAACACCTGTATGCGACTGTGGGCACCAGGCACAAATGACAGAGCACATCATATCTGAGTGTCCCCTTCATTATTTCTCCAGGGGCCTGAAGGACTAGATATAAATTTTTAATCGTTGCCACATATCCAAGCTATACGTAAGAATTAGTAGTACTGGAAAAGGGTACCAATTATTTTCTGCCTCACGGATCACCAGCAAAATTGCCAGTCAAATTCTCCTTTTGGAATCTTTATTGATGATAGTGGCTAGTAAAAATGCATGAAGAGTTTGATCTGATTCAGATACCAAGATGAGACATTTCTGGCAATTGGAACACTAATGTCTAGACTGACAGTAGGAGAGAGAGTAGAGCCCCAAGAGATGCTGGACAGACTCTCAGCAAGAACTATCACTACTGCAGTAATATGGATGACAAAAGGAGACAATTTAGAAGAAGCAGCTAAACTACCCCTTATGGAAAAAGCCATATGGAATGTAAAAGAAATTAATGATCTTTCTATAGATTTGTTGAACCATCCTACAGAATTCTATGACCAGAAAATGCATTCTTTATTATATTCAACGTATTTTAGAGTCATTTCCATAGAGCCCTATTGGTTTCATACCTATTAAGTTCTATAGGACTTTTCCATTAAAGCAGTCTCCAGAAGGACATGCTAACAAAGCTCAGTTCAAAGACCCAAGATGTTTACAAGATCTGCAAATACAATAATGTAAATGCCATCATATCTCAATGTGACAACACCAGCAATTCCAGATTGTATTCTTGTATACTCTCAATACTTAAGCTATGTCCACACTGTGAGCTAGAGGTGTGATTCTCCTCTCATGCACACATACTTGTACTAGCTCTCAAAGTAGTGTGAGTATAAATAGCAGTGTAGCTGTGTTGGCATGGGCAGTGGCAGTGGAGGCATGGCTTAGTCATGCTTAATACAAATCTCCCTGAATCCGGTGGGTACATACTTGGCCTGGCTAAGCCATGCGTCCACCACTGCTACCTCTGCTACCATGGCTACACTGCTATGGATACTCTTGCTAGCTCAATGAGTGAGGGTATGTGTACACAAGCAGGGGAATCACACAGCTAGCTCATAGTGTAGATGTATCATTAATGGACAAGTGAGTCTGGATTTGGATTCTTATTTTCTCCAGAACTTACCTCGGAAATAATGGGCCCAATACTGACTGTTGCACTGAGCTGGAATTTTTGTTGTTGACTCCAGTGAGAGCAGGGCTGGTTCCAGTGATCTAATATTGGCCAATAACTTATCAGATTTTTTAACGGGAGTCATGCTTTCTTTGGGCTACATTCTGATATCTTTCAGAAAGATATGCAGCTTTGATTAAAGGTTGAGGAGAAAAGGTAAGATCTAGCTCAGAAATGCTTGGTGAAATTCTGGGCCTGTGTTCTGCAGATCAGACTATGTGATCGTAATGGTCTCTCCTGGCCTTAAAATCTATGAATCTGCAGTAAGTAGTAGATTTCAAGGCTACTACTTGAGCAGTAAGGCCCAACTCAGCACAAGTTCCTTCTGGAGTCAGAATCCTCATAAAGGAGGGAATGGAGATCCCAACTTTTGCATTAAATATTTTTAACTGAGGCATTCCTGAGACAAGAATGGAAAGATACACATATGGAAAAGCCAAAATGTCCAGAAAGTTGGTAAGTCAGAATATACAGGCACCCAATTCTGCAGCAGTATTTAATAGTCCAATAGTAGCAACAAAATCTCAGCACAGTTCAGCAATATCCAGAGGTGTGACGGAAACGATAAGCAAGCTCAAGCTTCAGCTCAGTCCTGTGGTAACCACTAGCAAACCAGGCCTGGCTCCAAACAAATAGAGAAGAAGAAATTACAACAACACTTTGAAAGAGGTAAAAGCAATTTGGAAATTCAGAAAGTAACAAAATCAGTGTAAAAATGAATGAGCAAGCAAAAATAACCAAATACGGGTGAGGAAAAACTACTAAAATCAGAGCTGAAAACAGTTTAGAGGATAAGTTGCCAACTCGAGTTTGCACATTCATTCCCCTTCAACTGCTTGTTGTCTAACAACTTTATTTTAAAAGGCTTAGGCGGTATATTGTTAGAACATCTGTACATGTTTTATTGGCTTAAAAATTGGAAAGGAAGCCTTGTATTGCAGCAAGTAACAATACATCCAGTTCTTGCATAGTATGGGGGCTTTTGGTGAGAGAGAGGGGAATTTTCCATTGCATAACATTCTCTCTTTCTTTGTTGGTCTTTAAAAGAAATTACGAA